GAGTGGTACCTGCAGCTGTACGCACTGTGCGTACCTTGAGATTTTCCTTTCAGTTAAAAAAATGTTTTTATAAATCAAATACTTGATTTGACTCATTTTTTTCTTATTTCAAGAATCTTACCAAGTAAAACTTTCTTACTCCATTGGCAGATTTTTTTTTTTTACTTAATTTAAGTCAATTTTTCAGGCTAACAAGACAAATAATCTTACACATTCTGAAAACAAGATTATTATTCTTACACAATCAGTTCTTGTTTAGTAAATCAGTCTCAAAACAAGATCAAAAAGACTGGCTGGATATAGGATTTTAAAACTTGGTTAGATGGACAGTTTTTGCAGTGTAGCAAGTTGTGCTGAAGGTTTTTGGGTGTTTTAACCTGACAAGGCCAAGGTCCATTGACTTCTCATTGATGATGGTTGACTGTAGCCTGTAAGGTGTTTTTGCTACCATAAAATATATTTGTTTGACAGATCGGTTCAGATTGACTAATACTCATCTGGTTTCTGAGCTACCCTGAAACCACCACGACTCAAGCCTTACAGGGTGCTGACCAAGAGCCCCTGCTCCAAAAGCAACACACTTCACACTTAACTGAAACTAGCAGCTGCCCACATGAACAAGACAAAAGGCTTCAAACCAGACAATGATTGGGTTATTTGACCACAATAACAAGAAGTGTGTGTGGATGAGACAAGGCCAGACTTTAAACCTAAGGGACAGTGTACCAGTTGTCAAGCATGGCGGTGGTAACATCATGCTTTGGGGCTGTTTTCACCTTAAGTAGTGCTGATTGTGCAAAGTAAACACAATAATAAACACATAATGTAGGTCTGTCTCCTAATTCTAATTTGACCCTAAAACAGCAGCTAAATGGTTAAAACTGAAACACACAGCAAAACAAAGCAGGATAACAGAAGCTGTGAAGGAGATCACGGAGGCCACACCCTTCAGACCTTTCACCCTTCACTCAAAAAGCAGACTGTTGGATTTACTTAACCAAGTTGTGCCAACAGTGGAAAATGTTGATATAACCTGGCTAAGTAATCCAACACTGTTTTTTAGTGTAGAACTCAGATAACTTATGTATGCGTGACCACTTGCTGCCCAGTTACCATTTTATATCATGTCTTCAGTTGGAACATGTACTCACACGTCTTTTCATGGGAGGTGTAACTTCACAAAATTCAGTATTATTAAAAACGTCACACATAAAGCAATAAAGAGAATTAATCTTTTGGGTTTAGCTCCAGTATCAGTACTTGTAACTGCATTTTTTTACACCTCATTGGAGCAAAGATTTCATTAGTTAAGTTGCTAAACATACATTTAAAAATAAATTCTTCGGTTTGTAATAAATTTACAAACGCCACCGTGAAAAATGCCAAAACTCTGCGGTCTTTGTTTTTCTGTTTAATTTGCTGATGGCACAATGAATCCTGGGATATCATCGGCTCCGTAGGATACAAAATGCAAAATGAAAAAACAAATGAAAAAACTAAGCATTGAGTCTCTGGAATGGCTTTCCAAAACCCTGATCACTAGCTGACTCCAACTTTACAAATTATGTTTAAAAGCCAGGTCCTCACCAGAAAATTATCCAGTTTAAATAAATTTTCACTAATTGGGACAAACCTTCAGCCAAAATGATACCAGAAGCTTTTGATAGATATAAAGTGTGTGGTTGAGGTGCAACTTGCTGAGGGACATTAAACCATGTATTAGTGGGGGTGTATGAATATGTCTGTGCCTTTATAGTTGTCTAATCCCTGCCTGGATTAGAGGAAATCCACAATAAATTAAATTTGTACATTGATGTTGTATGCTGTAGAGTCATTCCACCTTGGGAAACAATCGGCCAAATCAATCATTAAAAACCCTAAATTCACATCTATGCCTGCAATGACCAGATAAAAAACCTCGGACAGATAATCTGTGTTGTTTTTAAATTATTCATCTCCTTTTTATGTAAGAATGCAGATGTCTACAAATGTTTCGCAGCATATTGGAAATTCTTACAGGGACACCTTTTGGCAAATCTCACCTGTCGAGCCACGCAAGGAGGCTCTTGGCAGCAGCGATGAGGTCCACCACGGAGGTGAGGAAGTCATTGGGCAGCTTTCGAGTGGCTCGGCCGTCGTACTGACCGCTGCGCCGGCGGCCCGTGATGAAGTTCTGCAGGTTCTTCGCGGACGCGCCGAGCTTATGAGACAGCGTCTTCAGATTCTCAGTCTCCAGACCGTAATTCTGCAGGAGAGAAATAATAAATAAAGGAAAGTAAATTCTCTCTGTTTGACCAGCTTGTCARTGTTTGCTTTAACTGCGACACGTTCCAATAATTTTTCACCACAGAGACTTGAAAGTTATCATTGTTCCGACGCTTTCTCTGTGACAACCACTGGCAGCACAGATCTACTTCGCTTCGTGAGAGAAAGGCTGCGGATGTGGAAAAAGGAAGACAAAACAAAACAAAAAAATGTGTAAAAGCAGCTGTCACTTTGAATACTATAGCTGAACACTTATTTTCCTCCAACCCGCATATGCAGGCTTATGGTTTCTTTCACGTCAGAGCTTCTTGGAGGAGAGAGAGCGCAGCGGGAGGGCCACTGATCATATTTAATACAGGAAGGCCTGACAGACTTATAACTAAAATCCCACTTACATAAGAAGCTTTTTGGCTGTAGTGCCCCCCCCCCTCCCCCATAGGATGAGAGGAGTTTAGATCCAGATTGCATTTGCAACCTCAGTTCAATAAATCTCCATCCAGTTTCTTTGCAGGTCTCTGAGATTAACACAAAACCATCTGAGTCTATCTTACAACACTCAGCATCAGTTATTCTTCTGRTATTTTAAACTTTAATAGTWATTTGGTTGGTTGGTTTAATTAACATCAACAATATTGGTGTTTACTTTCATGATTGTTGGATAAAAAATAATCTAAATGCATAAAAATTCACCTGTTAGCTATATATAGAGTATTTCTAGCGATGTAAAGGGTTAGCCTGGTGATTTTTGACATGTCAAATAGTTACAAATAATAAGAAACTTGTGAACGGTGATATTAATCACAGAAAAAGAATTAAAAATCCAACATCTGTCTCCAGGCTAGGCTAATAGCTAGCCAAACCAGGGTTGTTTTTATAAAACTAACTATTTAACTATTCAGGCTATAAAATAACTCTTTCTACAAAATGTCTTACAGCTTTAGAAGAACTCTACATTAGGTAATGTCAAGCAGACTGAGGAGACAGACATTAAAAAGTTAATTAACAGCTATAGAATTTGAGTTTTTTTTTTAAGATGGCAGCAATCTGCTTTGGTCTTAGCTGTGTTTGGACCAGCCATTTGCTCGTCATTTCTGTCAAACCAAACTACAAATTACTCTGAGCTATTTGCAACGGATAAGATGTTATTTATTCATAAACATTTTACATAACCGCATTTCAAAATGTTTGAACTATCCCTTTAAGTGARATTGTAGAAATGTTGCTCAAAGCTTATGTTTTTCTTGTGTTTGCACCATTCCTTTAATATATGTCTTTTTTCAACAACAAAAAATGTAAACTAGAGGAAAAATCAAGTACTTTGTTTTATAGAGATTGCATTCTCTGTGGAATAAGAGCTATCAAAGTTTACTTCATTTCACATATTTTTAGTTTTTCATATGACAAACAGATGTCGTGTTTTTGCACCCAGCCCCAAACTGACTGCATTATACTGCTATTAGCAGCATGAACAGAAAACTAACATGATGTTTCCCAATCTGTTGTGATCCCAGCAACATTAATCACAAGCTAACACAGATCACTGCACATGGAGTTAGTGTTAAAGGCTGAATTATAATACGTTCATACTTGCAGCACACGAGGCGAATCGGCACAGCAGAGCTGAAGCACACGCTGAAAGAGCAGTTTGAGGATGAGGCAGTAATGACATGTGTAGGACCTGCCTGCCTGAAGATGACGTTTTGGACAGATTACTAACTCCAATAGATCTCAARTGATATTTTAAAATAGGAGCCTAAAGCAGCCCTGTCCACCATTTTTACACCAAAAGTAGCACATTTAGTCTGGTTTGACAGATTAGATCCTTYCCAGTTAGCAGCAGAGGCATCATGTTTAACCTCAGCGCACTGAGAGCTAAAACACCCAGAACTGGAGGCACGTTCAGTCCAAACCTGATACAGTTTTGTTTCTGTCTTCTTAGACCTTTAAACAAATCAGGTATTTTTTTTGAAGAAGTTACACTTTCTTTTGTCTGTTCTCAGCTTGACTAGGGATGCACCCATCCCCATTTTTCACTTCCRATACAGATACAGATATTTGAGGTTTAGTACCGGCCAATAACGATCCAGTACCGACCCAGTGTCAAAAAACACTGACTTAAAAGTGTCTTTCCTATGTTTTTTGTACACAGACATTACTGAATTACAAATTTTATTGATCAATGTGTACCAGCAGCCTACAGCAATCCTAAACAACCCAATAGCTTCACAAGCTTAATGAAGTATGTAAAAATAACACATTACCTTGTTTAGTCAGTGCAGGAGTATAACATTCAATGTAAAACGAATAATAACGGAACTGAAACTGAGGAAAAACAATAGCTAGACTACCTTGCTCAAACATCAACAACCTGGAACAAATCCTCTTTCAAATGGTTTTGTCAGTGCAATTTCAAAATATAATGTAAAACTCATCTCTTTGACATCTTTTATCTCTTTTGATATGTTTGCAGTTCAGGTATTGCCATCTCTGAGAAATATTTTTGTCTCCAGACGGTAAGGTAGAGTAAAAAGGTTCTGATTCTTTAGCCCGCTCCACCTTAAAAACAATGTGAGTCTCTGAGCTGCGTATCGGTAGCGCATAATGTCACTCACAGGGATCAGCATAGACTTAGTATGAATAGATCTGTCCCTATGGATTTAATTTGTCACTGGCCGAACAAACTTTCATTTAATTCCAATCAATCTATAGATGTCCCTCCCCTTGGTTGTCAGTCAAACAGTTTATGGCTCAATATGGTCGCTCAGGCCACAACACGTGGTTACGTGGTTGTTCGGCGTTCATTTTCGCACGCAATCTTCATAGCTCCTTGAGAAACACAGTGACTGTGCCAAGCTCCTGAAACCCCTCCCACATATGAGACCTGTCACCTGACGTTATTTGTGCACAAATCTGTTGCAGTTAAACCCTAAGTTATTAGTGTGAAATACAATTAAATAGGAATGGATAAACACAAAAAGTACATTCATGTAAATTCAGTGTTGTTTGTGGTAGTTTCGTTTAAATTGAAGACAATGTTTTTTTGTGCAAAACAAGCTTATTCCAATGGTTTAAGTTTAAAATTAAATTTTGCAAAACGTAGCTCTCGGACAATTTCATTTTCTGAAAGTAGCTCTTAAAGTGCCTGTGACGTCAAATTTTTGTAATACAAATGAATGCATTTTTAAAAAGAGGCCATTGATAAAATATTGCAAAAGAAATTTCATGTTGCTGAGATGAACAGTTGTTGAGATATTTACCTGTGAAGTAACAGGAAGTGATGTCAAAGGGGAATGTCTGAATGTGAACAGTGTTGCTACAACAGCTAACGGCCCAGACTGTAGAGAAGAATCTGATGTTTCTTAAGATTATTTTGAATAACTATCAGAGAGATGAAGAAGAGTCAGAGTTCAAATAATATTGTTTCAATAAGCAAAGACCAGAGAGTTTTCTTTGTTAAAGAGTTCCCCTTTGATGTCACTTCCTGTTTCACTTTGGCTGAGTCAAGTTCAAAAGAAAATATGCCAGTTATGGGACAAAATAGGTTAAATTGTGTGCATTATTCCAACTTTCTTAAATATAAAGATGTTTTCTTTGACTTTTTGTATTTGAAGAATATGCATGTCASAGGCACTTTAAGGAAAAAAAAGGCTGGAGACCCCTGCTTTAATCTGTTAATGCCACAACTGGCTCAGTTGTGGTTAGTTTTCTGTGGTGCTGGTCCATACATGGACCACATCTGGGCCACTAAATGGCTGTCATTCTTTATGGTATCTGGGTCAGACAAAATTTGCTATGTGGGTGAATGCGATTCAGGTCATTTTAAAATATATTGAGACAGAATTTTGTTTGGTAGTAGATGAAATTTGCCCCCAACACATACTCTGAGTGTTAACTCGTTTTCTTTCAGCACGTTTTTGCTTCTAATTGCAAATCTCAAACAGTTTTAGAGGAACCCAGAGAAACTCATGTAAGTCTCTCTGTATCTGCTGCTCAGTAGCTCTGTGTCTTATAGTGGAGCCTTATGTAAATAAATATATGTTAGAATCATCTGCAGAAACATTTTTGTACAGGAAAAAGCACCAAAAGCAAAAGCTTGAGTTGAATTAATTTGCAGTTTTTAAGAGCTGACATTCCATTAACTTTGACACACTGATCCCTATTTTTCAAATATGAGCTGTCAGTTTCTGTGTTTCAGCACGAGATATTCCAGCCAGTGAAAATGTGTGAAGAGCTGGTGATTGTTGTGCACCCAGGATGGCAGGCAAGTATGTGGCAGCAGGCTGGTGGCTAAATTCCTCTGGCGCTTATTAAAAAGTAATATTTACAGGCCAGAGAGAACCAAAACCAGACATCTAGGACAAACCAAACAATCTAAAATAACAAAACACAAGAACTTGACAAATGCACTATAAAAACAGAGGTACTAGTACCGGGCAGGCAGATTAAACATGTGGGAGCAGCTGAGACAATTACAGATGACTGACAGGTGCAACAGAACATCAGCAGGATGCCACAAGAATCTGGGTTTCTAAAGAAAAACTCATAAAGTCCTATCAACTCCCAAAATTCACATGGAATATTTCCAAAATTATCCAACTTTACTACCAAAATTTACAAAAAGAAATTCCTCCACTTTCCCACTGAAAAGAGCGTTAGCATTTTAGCATTTAACGAGCGTTAGCAAGTTGTTCTGCGAGAACCTCAGTCTATAAGCGTACAGTGGGTGGACCTGGACTCACCAGTGCACAGAGTAAATCCACGGCTTCCAGTATGAGTTCCTGGTGGCCGATTCTGGACACTCCCAGGTCCTCCAGCTCCTGGTGGGTGATGCGTAGCAGCTGGTCCCCCCCTACGTTCTCCTTCTCAAAGGTCTTGATGTACTGCTGCAGGCAGTCGTCCAGGCCTGAGGTAACCACACGGGAACATTTTCAGCACAGCTTGAYGAGTTGAACATTTAGTCTCCAAAATGTGTTTGACGTTTTATATTCTTGTAAACTCTCTATTTGCATAATACCTTTTTAATAGGGCTTGACATTGCTTCTGTGAGCCAGATTATGAGCTGTAAATCTGCTGGATGTGTGAACACAGGTTGTATTTTGCTCTGTTCAAGTGTGATAACAGTCGGAGCAGAAATGTGACACGTTCCACCTCCTCAACGTGCCCGAGCTGCATTTTCAGCTTYAAACTAGAAAAATAAAAGCTTTCAATTAAACGGGACTGCAAGTCTGCRCTCAGCTTGTTTTCCACATTTTAGCACTGCGGCGGGTGTGAAGTCTTTTGGAAAAATAGTTGAATAAGAGCAGCAGACTAAAACAAACAGAACCAGCAGCTTGCATCAGTGGTTTTATGGTTTATACCTGAAATTTACATATGGGTGCAGTTTTTACTTTAAATAAGACAAAGAAAAATGTTCCAAGTCTGCAGCATCTCAGTTTGTCATCAAAGTCAATAAAATTGCTGATAATGCGACATTTAAAGCACAAACTTCTTCTGTAATGATCTTATGTTTCTCTAAAAAAATTAAATCTCTTGCAACCAAGTTCACTAAATGATTTAACAAAATAAATAAGAAAAAATAGAGCAAACTGATTTATTCTTTAGAAAACAGATTGTTGCATCTCACTCTTCATAAATCTGCATTTTAATTTTGGAGTCTTTTCTTCAAAGTGTTCTATAATACGGTGCCAAGTGTAAAATTAAATGTTTAAAAATGTAACCAACACATTTTTCATCATTTAGCTCACTTTATGAGTATTAAAAGTTTTACACTAATATTTTATCATTATTTATCTCACTGTTGTTTTGTTTCACCAATTTTTACTAAATGTTAAATTTAAATGTTGAAAATATATGTCAATATTATATCCTAAATCTAAATGAAAAAGGTAAATGTTGAGGTTTACGTTAAAGTATTTCAGAATGGAACACAGCCATTTATGTTCGTGCTGGGCTCTTGCTGTGATGTCATCATCCTGAGACAATAGCAAACGCTAACACTCCAACACAACTAAAGCTTCCCTTCAAGACATCAAACTCGCAGTTGCGGCCAGCGTCTGAGMTGCCCCTTCAAACTGCCGGACCACAGGTACCATCAAAATTGTTGTTATTGTACACATTTTGAATTTAGATTTTAAATTTAAAAAATTCATCAGTGTTAGAAGCATTAGAAGCGGCTAGCATTGACGTTTGTTGCAGGATGACATCATCCTGATTAGATTAAGCTAACTGCTGCTAACGCTTCTAACATTGTTGAAAACTGTATGTACAGTATTTAATTAATCTGCAGGAACGTTGTACCCAGTCTGACTTCAACTTACAGGTTTCTGTATAGTGTCCAGTATTTCCATTCGACACAGGAAGAGCTACAGCTAGCTCGTGCTTCTGTTATTTACATTTGCAAATAATTTTACTAACTCATTTGAAAACAATGGTGATGTAATGGTATAACTGATGTCTGTACAATTTTGAAAGTTGAAGTTGTTTTGCAGTAAGAGGGCAACAATCTGCTTTGTTCTTGACCTCAGTCAGAGTAGATGTTAGCTCTTTATCAGAATTAAACTCTGTTTGCCCAAAGTGGAATCATTCAAAATTCTATCTGCAACAGGTTAGATATTATTTGTTCATAACGCTCCCACAGAACTGAGCTAACGCTTTAGTTGAACAACTTATTTAGCTCAGTTTAGTTTGCTTTCGGGCTAAGCAAAACTTATTAAAAATTGAAAATCTAAAATATTTTTCGGCCAGAAAGCAACCCTGCATGCTCAGCGACTGTAATTTAAACTGTGGAAAAAAATGTGTGGCTGATTGTATGAATCCAGCCACTTTTCCCTTTCTTGTCCCTATTTATTTTCCCTGTCTCTTCCCCTCACACACGCTCACACACACACACACACACACACACACACACACACACACACACACACACACACACACACACA